TATAAACCAAAAACCAAACTCACTGCTGTCCAGTTGGATCTGACTCATGGTGTATATAAAGTACAAATATATACTACATACTTTCTCTTGTATCCTCACACTAGCAGTTCACAGGACCAGCTTCTGGTAAAGATGATATTCATGAAACTGAAAACCCAGGGCTAGCACATGCCATGAGTGAACTAGTAATAGGGGTTTTAATGATGAGACTCTTTCACCCTTAGCAGCTTTAGAAACAGGACTTGACAGCTTTGAATCTATAGCCTGATTAACTTAAGGAAGGCAGAGAGATGGAGCAGATATTTTCTAAGATCACATTTGAGTCTGTGACCCAGAATGACTTGGAAAGTTTTATCCTCAACAAGTGTTTGATATGCATCTCTCTTGCTGTTTCTAGGCCTGAAGGCTCTCAAGGCATGGCCAGACTCTCCATCCTGCACCTCATCCTGTGGACTGCTTTGATTGACAAGAGCCAAGCCTGCTTTTGTGACCATTACCCATGGACTCAGTGGTCCAGCTGCTCAAAAACCTGCAATTTTGGAACCCAGAGTAGACAGAGGTGGGTGTGAGCTATTTAGATTTTCTTTGTATCCTGGGAGACCTCAAGGCCTGAGCTAGTAATATCAGAAGTGCCACCTAGGCAATGGAGAAATATATACCTCAAAGTAAGAACTCAAGAATGTGGATGGAATTTGAGATCTTTTGAACATAAAGATTAAAAACAGTCTACTTTGTCCTCTCCCTAAAAATGATAGGTTTCGAAGAAATACAAATGAGAATCTGTGTAAGGTTTTCAGTTGACGATTTAACTTACAATCACTGCTCAATTTTTTTTAATCAACATATAGCTCTGTTTACACACACTTAGTGAGTTAATTATCAAGCATTTTCTACTCATTAAAACACTTCTAACAAGACCTCAATTGAGCAGCACTGTTAGTTATTAGCTTGACTATTGGCATGTATAAGAAGGCAAGCAAACTATGCGTATGGGATAATAGTTAAAAATTCAGCCACCAATTCAGACTACTCATTCCCCATACTTTCTTCTATACATGGAGATGCTCACATGACATGGGGCAGAAAGTGTATTTTGAATATTGTTACACTTTTTGGACACTTATCTTAGATAACTATTATTACATATGCAGTGTGAGTCTCGTTAAAATTTCCAGTTGATTTCCCAAATAAACTGCACACTAAGCATGTGAAAACAGACTTGTTTACTTTACTTCCAACTTAAGAAACCTTCAGTACTGCTCTTGTTTTTAGCTGCTGTGTAAGGTGATCCCAGGTACAAGGGAACAAGCACTACCCTTTCCTGCACCATCCCCATGATGGGTTGAGCATCAGGCAATTGTCAGTTTTGATCCATAGGGTTTCTCTGGCTGATTTTCTGAGGTAAATCACCAGGAACTTCTTCATAGTCCATCTTAGTCTGAAAGCTCTACTGAAACCTGTTCAGCATCATAGCAACACACAAGATACCACTCACTGCTAGTGGTCACATGGAAGGCAAGATTTCTACCACTGAACCATCGATTCTTCCTACTACCTACAAAATACACACACACACACACACACAAACATATGTGTGTATATATATATACATATATATATACTGTCCTGCTCAATCCTGCATTTGACAGGCCCAACCCACAACCTCTTCCCTGGACATGTCATGCTCTCTTCCACCTCTAATCTTTGTACATGCTGCTCCCTTTGTTTCCTAGAGAATTACCACTAATTTTTCAAGGTGTATCTCTCATGTCTCTTTCTCTTTGAATCTGGCCTCCTAGCTCCCTGGCCCTAGCTCAGTCGTTGCACTTACCGCATTGTGTTGTCATTTTCTAAGCAATCACAATTCCTTTCCTTTCTTCCTTCTTCTCTCTCTCTCCCAGTTCCTTTCAGGAGTTCCATCAGTGTCAGCTTCATGAATGTGTGACTTCTGTAGTCACTTAGAAGACTTCTACGCTTGACTTGATATTTAATGCTTCATGTTCTACCAATGCCATCTTGAAAGTCTTAATTTTTTAACAATGGGCTCTGCACTTCCATTTTGTACTGGGCTCCAAAATATATGTAGCAAGTCCTGATTTCCAATAAATGGCAAGAACAGCACATATGCCAACTTGTCTGACTTTCTTTGAAAACCTTTTCCTTTTATTCATGGTAGTTAATACTCAATGATATTTTTCATGTAGGACTGGAGCCACAATGAATGCACTCTTTCTAAGCAGTTTTTTCTCACTCTTGCAGACAAATAGTAGTAGACCAGTACTATTTGGACAACTCTTGTGAGAAGATTTGCATCAAACAGGAGACCAGAGATTGTAACTGGCAAACCTGTCCTATCAACTGCCTCCTGGGAGATTATGGGCCATGGTCAGAATGTGACCCTTGTGTTGAAAGACAGGTAGGTGACTCACTGACATACCCAAGAAATCTGAATCACAATAAAATGTTCAGATTCCCTGATAGGCTCAACAATAACAGAAATGATGAATTTCTTTAATTTCTGAAAATAACCTGCCCCACCTTCCATTGAAGGAAGAGTTCATTTAGTAATGTTGAGGTGAGAGTGGTATTTCCTTGGATATGCTTTACTATCCTATGATACTATAATACTGAATTTACTCAGAGGAAATTCTGCCTCCAGAATTGTATTTTCCCAGCTCTGGGAGCTTAGAGAGTAAAAATAGGAGCTATAAGATAAATATTTCAGTCCAAGATTTAAAACCAGACAGAAAATAGGGAGGTGAATTAAAAACCTGAACTCCTTGTTCTTCTTCTAATTCTCCTCTCCCCGTGAGAAAGCCTATCAATTTGTAATATGTACCCATATCAAGCATATTCCTATAAGGTCATTGACCTATGTGAACCCCAGGCAGGTCACTTGCTGGGCATTTACACATTAGGTAAGAAAAAGAAACTAATTTTTGGAGCATTCACTTTTTGCGAGAAACTTTTTTAGACCTCTTAAATATTGTTGTTGTTGTTGTTGTTGGCTGCCATTGAGTTGGTCCCTGACTTGTGAGGATCCCACGCACAACAGAATGAAGCCTTACCTTGTCCTGTTTCAGCCTCATAGTTGATTGTGGATCAGATGCTTCTGATCCATAGGGTTTTCTTTGACTGATTTCTGAAAGTAAGCTAGAGGCCTTTCTTCCTAGTCTGTCTTAGTATGGAAGCTCTGCTGAAGTACGTTTAGCAGCATAGCAACTCACAGGTCTTCATTGACAGACCACTGATGGCTCTGCATGTGGTTCATTGACCAAGAATTGAACCCAGGTCTCCTGAATGGAAGATAATAATTCACCTCTACTCCCATAGGTCCCTTGCATACATCACTTTATTCAATCTTCTTATCAGATTGTATTTTTCTACCCATTTTTTAGATAAGGAAATCACTGTTAACAGGGAGTTAAGACAAGTAGGTGACTCACTGACATACCCAGGAATACACCACTAATTAATGGAGGAGCACATTTTGATCTTGGGGTTTTTTCTGACTTCAAAGTCATTACTCTTTAGTCCTTTGGAGTTTTATCTTTCTTTCAGTCTTGATTTGATGATGTGTAATTTATAATTTTTTAAAGTATGGAGAATTTCTCAACCTTGGTTTCCATGGTTATTTCCTCAAAAATCCTTTCACATTTATCATTCCACACTATCTTTGAGATACAGAGTGGCTATTGTTATTGCCTACAAGAAAATGCTGCACTCAGGACTGTCTCAGTAAATATTTATGCATTTGATTTTGATTTAATTTAGAATCATAATATCTTAGAGTTGAAAGAAGACTTAGAAATCATTTTGCCCCACTTCCTCATTTTACAGATTGGGAAATTCCCTAAGGATCCAAAATAATTGCATTGGAAGAACCGTTAGTAAAATTTATGTCACACCAATGTTGGGATCAGGAAGCCCAGTTTTAATCAAAAGGGAGAAAATGCAGAATGAAATCTCAAGTTTCCATGGAATCCATATTTTTGGAGCCATAGAGGCTGGAAGAACTGCCACAACTATTACCCTGAGATATTCTTTAAACCTTAAACCAAAAATATCCTGCTGAAGTCTTCTTAGACTTAAATATTAGAGCAGGTTAACTAGTAAAGAATGTCTCCCTTAAGCACTGTGCTCTTTGAAAACTATCTCTGTGGGATCAAACCAACAATAACATCTCCAAAGATTAGATAGGAAACTTAGGGGGCAGTGAGATTATGTTAATGGCAGAGGAATGACTTTGAAAAGGAATGTGAGAATGGTTGCACAACTTGAAGAATGTAATCAGTGTCGTTGGATTGTACATGTAGAAATTTTTGAATTGTTGTGTGTTGTGCTGTGTATATTCTTAACAATAGCAACAAAAAATAAAATAGGTTATCAATAAATAAATAAATACGTCCAGTTTCCTTAAATATATTCATTCTGGTGTCGATGCTCCCTCAGAGTTAACTAAACATCTTTCTTTTCCTTTCAGTTTAAGACTAGATCTATTTTGCGCCCCAGCCAATTTGGGGGACAACCATGTACTGAGCCCCTGGTGAACTTTCAACCATGCATTCCATCCAATCTCTGCAAAATTGAAGAAGTTGACTGCAAGAATAAATTTCGCTGTGACACTGGTAATGTACTTTTTGTAAAAATGTTCAATCTCTGCTAAAAATAACTTGACTAAATCAAAGTTATTCCAGTTGACTACCTGTAAAAGCCAAGACTGAGAAGTCCCCCTATGTTTTAAAGTGTGGAGGTGGGGAGAAGAGTTATGCTACCAAGCCCCAAACTACTCATGTGTGAGATTAGGGCTTTCGAGTTCGACTCTTCTTGACAACTTACCTAATTCACTTATTGAGTGGTGGTGCCCAGGTCCCTACACAGTAATAAAGCAAGAAGAAGAGAGGGAAAGAATAGCAAAAAGACAAGTAGGTGGATATTTTTTAAAATCAGCTGTAATAAGTACTAATGCCTATAATTAAAAGAAGCAAATGAAAAGTGGTAACAGATTTAAAAGCTCTTTAACATAATTTATTAATATAAGAATATTAATAGTATGATATTATGTCAGGGGATGACTAGAGAAGATGTGGCAAATATTTGTTGTTGGTCCCTTTACTAGCTACAAGGGCAATTACAAAAGAGGAGCTCCAAAATGATTTGAAGGGTGCTAACCACTCGACGGCACACAACAACAACCACTTCTGAATCTCAAACAAGAATGCTGGTGTCACAATTGGCTCTCTGTGACCCACAAATGAACAAGAGGAAGCCAGGCCTGAGCATTACCTCAAAATATTATTAGAAACTGAAGTGTGAATATTTGAGATTTGAAAGATGGTTATTAGAACAAATAAACAGGAAGGATTCCTCTATTCAACAGATAATAGATTGATGAAATTTATTATCATGAGAGCTTTGTTTAGGCAAAAAATGTTCACAAGTTTGAGAAGACTTTAGGTAAAACAATGGGTTACCAATTCATAATAAAGTTGGTGGTGTCAGCACAGCTGATTTCCAGTTCATCAGAAATATGTCTACACACACACAAAGCCAAACCAGTTGCTGCCTGATCAATTCCAACTGTTGACAACTCATGTGTATCATAGTACAACTGTGCTCCATGAAGTTTTCAATGGTTGATTTTTCAGAAATACATAGATCATCAGGTCTTTCTTACGAGGTGCCTCTGGGTGGACTCAAGCTACCAATGGGTTAACAGCTAACCACATTAACTGTTTGTACTACCCAGAAACTCCGATATGTCCATAAACCAAAACCAAGGCCACTACCATCAAGTTGATTACAATATATAGCAGTCCTATAGGACAGAATAGAACTGCCCCATAGGATTTCCAAGGCTGTAAATATTTACAGAAGCAAACTGCCTCATCTTTTACCCCCAGAGGACTGGTAGGTTCAAACCACCAACTCTTTGGTTAGCAGTCAAATACCTTAACCACTTCACCACCAAAGTTCCTTCAAACACCAAATTATTGAAATGCATCTGTAATAGTTGGTAAACGACTATCCTGAGGTTACTGAATAACCCTTGTCCTGCTGCCTACACCTCTCCACCAGGAATATAGAGATTTTCCCATGATCCAGCCAATAATAGGTTAATTCTCAGCACAGCTGTGGTTGGCATCCATTCTGATTTGGTGGTATCATAGAAAATAGGTTGTTAAATATTCCATTAAAAATAACATACTACTTTGCGTTCCTAAAAATCCACCAATGCCACTCTTAAAGGTTATAGGAAGGTGGCTGGACCTTCAGAAGATATTTAGCCTTCAATTAATAGAGAACTGTCTATTTTAAAAGAGACCTGATGGTGCAGTGGTTAGAGTGCTTGACTACTAACCAAAGGGTCAGCAATTTTAACTCACCAGCCACTCCGCAGGAGAATGATGTGGCAGTTTGTTTCCATAAAGATGACTGCTTTGGAACCCTGTGGGATGGTTCTCCTCTGCCCTGTAGTGTTGCTATGAGTCAGAATGAACTTGATGGCAACGGGTTTGGTTTGGACCCATTCCAGATTTACCCTCTTCCCTTTTCCTCTCTTGTGATTGCTGTTCAGTATCCTCCACATGTCCCCAAGACTTAACATATTATTTTCATGTACCCATGGATTTTTGAGAATTATCCTTGAGCCAATCCCTAGGTAATGTGCTAATTCCTCTCTTAAAGTCCTAATTTCAAGTAGAGAAGACTGCACAATTTGCAAGTGATTTTAAAAATAATATGCCAATGAAGTAACACAAATTATTTCAAGATGATAGGAAAAGCACAATTTGCAAATGATTTCATAGCTCCAGATCCCAGGGTGTGTGTGCGTGTGCTGGCTAAAGGATGCTGACTTCTGAAAATCATGCACAATTCAAATTGCCCTTTACAGCTTTCACTAATTCTCTTAGTGAGTGTCCTAGTCCATTCGGTTTCCATGTCCTGGAACATTCTCAGCTGTGTCCCATAAGGCCCATGTCATTCCTGCAATCTATTGCTAAACATCATTATCCTTACTGTTGCTAATAGGTCTTCTCCAACATCCTAGAAGTACTCAATGGGTAGAATTGTTCATATTCTAACATATCCTGTACCTTGCTTATGGCACTGCATGGTGCATGTGTATCTCTTCCTTTGTCTGATAAAATGTGATGTTTATTTTTTTTTCAAACGCAATCATATAAAAAAAATAACTTTTGCATCAATTTCCAAGTGCCAGGTTCAAACCCTTTAAAAATGTAATAGATATTCATTTTTTGAGAAAAAGATTCTCTATTTTTAACTAAATTACTCACTCTATTTTGCCCTAAAACAAACAAAAAGCTACAGAGATGTGCTGTTTGAAAAACAGAGCATCCTTCAAATAAAAGCTTGGAATTGACAGAAATCCATTTCCATCTATATTTTCAGGCTTGTCTGATAATGGTGTTCATAATTATAATTCTTTGTAATAATGATTCAGAAGCAATGCAAGATTTTGAATAATCAAAGGAAGACTTAATTATGTTCATTACATTCTACTTTCTTAGTGAACAGTGCCAACCAGAAGAGTTAAAATTAAGTGCTTTCTGGGGAACATTCTATTAATCAAAAAATTTAATTCAGCAGAAATACCCAATTCCCTCAAGCATTATGTCTAGTCAAAATAGTCTTACATAGCTGTAGCGAGATGCCTGTTACAACTTAAAATAGTCAAGTGGTTGGTCCTGAGTAAAACATTTAATCATTGTCATGTGAGACTGGACATAATGTTCAGATGCCAGGTTCCCTGATTACAGGCAAGAGGGGGAGGGCTAGGGGAGGCAAAATCTCTCATTGCCCACAAGGCATTTCAATTTCTTTAATATAAACTTGCACATTGGTTTCTGATATTCTTATGAAATTCAACAAATTGAAAAGGAAAGAGAAATATCTGAGTACTTGCAGTTTGTAGCACTTTCTATATTCTCTCACTAAATTTGCTGTCTGCTACTATAGTAACTAAGGAGCTCTGGTGGCATTTGACTGCTAACCAGAAGGTTGCTGGTTCAAATCTACCAGCTGCTCCATGGAAGGGAGATGGGGCGATCTACTTCCATAAAGATTTACCACCTCAGAAACGCAATGGGAGTCACTATGAGTTGGAATTGACTTGAGGGCAATGAGTTATTTGAGTGAGACTTTAGTAACTAGGC